TTAGCCTCTGTTGCCGAAGGCTGGAGGACAATGGTGCACAACTCTCGGCTCGCCTGCAACCTCTGCCTCCTGGCTTCAAGCGATCTCTCTGCCTCAGCCTCCCAAGTAGCTGGGATTACAGGTATGCGCCATTGCGCCAGCCTAATTTTGTATTTTTAGTAGAGACAGGCTTTCTCCACATTGGTCAGCGCGCTTGTCTCCGGAAACATCCTGACTTCATGTGATCCGCCTGCCTCGGCCTCCTAAAGTGCTGGGATTACAGGCATAAGGCACTGTATTGAGCCCATCTCGTCCTTTCTTAAAATGAGTTTTCCATTTGCAAACTGCTGATTTACTTTGGGGCATTGTCTCCATAAACATCTCATTAAGCATCAGTGATTTCGCCATTCTTCCATCTAAGCCTCACCATAAATATGATATTTTTTCTTGCTTTGATTTTAGCAGGATACATGTTGATCTAATAGGGACTCCCTCCCTCCCTCCCTCCCTTCCTTCCTTCATTTTTGAGACAGGCTCTCACTCTGTCACCCAGGCTGGAGTACAGTGGCACGATCTCAGCTCACTGCAACCTTTACCTCCTGGGTTCAAGCGGTTCTTTTGCCTCAGCCTCCCGAATAGCTGGGACTACAGGCGCATGCCACCACGCCCAGCTAATTTTTGTATTTTTAGTAGAGACATGGTTTCACCATGTTGGCCGGGCTGGCCTCAAACTCCTGACCTCAAATGATCCGTCTGCTTTGGCCTCCCAAAGTTCTGGGATTACAGGAGTGAGCCACTGCACCTGGCCTTGAAATACTTTATTGGATAAATACAATACTAAACAAAATTCATTCAAATACTTTCCCCACAAAATCAATTTTTGCTCGGGTTCAGTAGCTCACACCTCTGATCCCAACACTTTAGGAGGCCAAGTTGGGAGGACTGTGGTGGTGCGTGCCTGTAGTCCCAGCCACTTGGGAGGCTGAGGAGGGAGGATCACTTGAGCCCAGGAGTTCAAGACTACAGTGAGGGGTGTTCACACCACTGCACTCCAGCCTGGGTGACAGAGTGAGAGCCTGTCTCAAATATATAAGGCCTTTCTATTCAGGCCAATGAGAAACACAACAAAGATAGATATGCTAGTTTAATGTAATTGGCTGATTTTTTTTTGTTTGTTTGAGACGGAGTCTCTGTCGCCAGGCTGGAGTGCAGTAGTGCAATCTTGGCTCACTGCAACCACTGCCTGCCTGGTTCAAGCAATTCTCCTGCCTCAGCCTCCCAAGTAGCTGGGATTACAGGTACCCGCCACCATATACCGCTAAGTTTTGTACTTTTAGTAGAGACGGGTTTTGCCACATTGGCCAGGCTGGTCTCAAACTCCTGACCTCAGGTGATCCAGCTCCCTTGGCCTCCCAAAGTGCTGGGTTTACAAGAGTGAGTCACCATGCCTGTCCTATGTTCTCTTTAATTAAAAAAATGCTTGGCTGGGTGTGGTGGCTCATGCCTGTAATCCCAGCACTTTGGGAGGCCGAGAGGTGGATTGTGAGGTCAGGCATTCAAGACCAGCCTGGCCAAGACGCTGAAACCCCGTCTCTACTAAAAATACAAAAAAAATGGCCGGGCGCGGTGGCTCAAGCCTGTAATCCCAGCACTTTGGGAGGCCGAGACGGCGAGATCGACGTATGGTAGGAGAATCGAGACCATCCTGGTGACACGGTGAACCCGTCTGCTACTAAAAAAATACAAAAAACTAGGCTCCGGGCGAGGTGCGTCGTGCGCTGTAGTCCAGTACTCGGAGAGGTGAGGCAGGAGAATGCATGAACCCGTACTGAGGTAGCTGCGCAGTGAGCCAGATCACGGCCACTGCCTCCAGCCTGGGCAGCAGAGCGAGACTCGTGGTCTCAAAAAAAAAAAAAATTAGCTGGACCTGGTTGCCACGGTGCCCTGTAATCCCAGATACTCAGGAGGATGAGGCAGAGGAGAATCGCTTGAAACCGCGCGGCAGAGGTTGCTGGTGAGCGAGATGGCCACCAGCTGCCCCATTCTAGCCTGCTACGACCGAGAGCGAGACCCATCTCAAAAAAAAAAAAAAAAAGAACAAGAAAAGCCTAATAAGACCAATTCGTCTCATTAGTTGAACTCCTGAGCTCAGAGTTAATCCTAGCCACTGCAGGCCTCCCAAATGCTAGGAGTACAGGCATGAAGTTACCGTGCACTGAACCCCTCTGTTTTTTTTTTTTTGTATTCCAGTAAGAGGATGGGTCTTCGGAGCATGTTGCGCCGGCTGGCTCTTGAACTCCTGACTCAAGTGATCCCACCTCAGCCTCCAAAAGTATGGCGAGTGTGAGCCCATCACACAGTGCAGCTTCCATTTTTAAATTACACAAGGAAATCATTAAGTCTCATTCGCGTTACAATGATGCAATTGCGAGAAAATTATTGTAATACGGGCACACAGAGCCTTCATGCAGGCTTGTTTGCAGCTGTGAATTTGGGCCAGTGTAACAAGGTGTCAGGTACTGCTTTCCCTCCTTCTGTGGAATTGCTGAATGCAGTTCATATCCATGCACAGAGGAGTCAAGTACCAAAAGCTGCACATCTACACTGATCTCCAGGGTTTAGTAAGAAATGTCTGAGCTGGCCAAATCACCCAAAGCCATCACTCTAGGTGCCTCCTCCTCCTCCCTGCCTACATAACAGACTAGAGAGGGAGAGATTAGCAGAGTTTTGGATTGTTGGACTGGGAGTTTCATTGCAAATGTCCCCTTTGCAGAAAGTGCACAAATGCTAGATCTCTTGGTGGTGAATATATGAGTTTCATGCTGGGAGTAGGGAGGATAGGTCATGGGGAACAGGTAGTGTGAAACAGGTGGATCTACAGACCTCCACACTGCATAATTTCTGAAAGACCCACTCCTGCTCAGTATATTGGAATTAGTTCCCCCATCTCTGTCTCCACAGCTTCTTTCTTCTCCAGGAGTCTCCTTCTCCTGGGGCCATGGTAGTTAGTCTCAACGTTGGCCTTCCAGTGCACTACAACTCTCTTGCATAGTCTCCTCCCATGCTGAATCTGGTTTGGTCTTCTGATCTGCTTTACCAATAAAAGGAGTTGGAAATGACACTGAAATTTCTGAAACTGGGTCATAAGTCTTGTGGTTTCCAAGTTGGCCTTTCACAACATGCACTCTAGGGAAACCAATTGCCATGTAAGAAGTGCTACTGCTCTGGAACCAGCACGCTGTGAGGCTGCTCATATTGAAATACTTGATCAGGAGCTTTCTGCTCCATCAGCTGCTACTGGAGAGGAAAAATAGCTGTGTGTCCTCATTATCTCAATGTTGGTAGCTTAAAAGACAAGATGATGAGAATTGCAGAGCTTTGGCCCTAGCTCAGGAAAAGGCAGTAAATTGGGGGGATCATCATGGAGGATCATGGCAGACAGGAGACAGGACTAGATTGCAGCTGCCACTTGGACAGCAGTGTGTGGAGTCTTGCTTCGTGATCTTTTGCTCCAGAACTACTCAGGAATAAATCAGAAAGCTGAGAGAACCCACGAACCCTCTGGAGAAAGTGGATTGCTCCTGGAGGACACCGCAAATAGTGTGCTAGTATCCATAGCTGAGAGACCCACAGATGGCTCATATCAGAGGACTCTGTACAGACAACCACAGTACCAGCCTAGAGCCTGGTAGACTTGCTGGGTGGCTAGATCCAGAAGAGAGATAACAGTCACTACAGCTTGGCTCTCAGGAAGCCACATCCCTAGGAAAAGGGGGAGAGTACTACATCAAGGGAACACCCTGTGGGACAAAGTAATCTGAACAACAGCCTTCATCCCTAGACTTTCCCTCTGACAGAGTCTACCATGACTCTGTCTTTTCTACCATGGGAACCAGAAAACCAACTCTGGTAATATGACAAAACAAAGTTCTTTAACACCTCTAAAAAAACCACACTAGCTCAGCAGCAATGGCTTCAAACCAAGAAGAAATCCCTGATTTACCTGAAAAAGAATTCAGAAGGTCAGTTATTAAGCTAATCAAGGAGGCACCAGAAAAAGGTGAAACCCAATTTAAGGAAATTAAAAAAAAAAAAAAGATACAAGAAATGAGTGGAGAAATCGTCAATGAAATAGATATCATAAATAAAAAACAATCAAAACTTCAGGAAACAATGGACGCACTTAGAGAAATGCAAAATGCTCTGGAAAGTCTCAGCAATGGAGTTGAACAAGCGGAAGACAGAACTTCAGAGCTCAAAGACAAGGTTTTCCAATTAACTCAATCCAACCAAAGCAAAGAATAAAGAATAAGAAAATATGAACAAAGCCTCTAAGAAATCTAGGCTTACGTTAAATGACCAAACTTAAGAATAATTGGTGTTCCTGAGGAAGAAGAGAAATCTAAAAGTTTGGGAAACATACTTGGGGGAATAATGAAGGAAAACTTCCCTGGCCTTGTTAGAGACCTGAACATCCAGATACAAGAAGCACAAAGAACACCTGGGAAATTCATCGCAAAAAGATCATTGCCTAGGCACATTGTCATCAGGTTACCTAAAGTTAAGAAGGTGGAAAGAATTTTTTTTTTCTTTCTTAGAAAGACATTTATTCAGCGTCATGATCAGACTATTACATTTAGCAATCGACAGCATGGGTGCAAAAAAAGAAAAAAATCTACATTAAAACCCTTTGTTGGAATGCTTTACACTTTCCACAGAACAGAAGCTAAAATAACCTGTTATACAATTAGTCACAAATACAGTCCTCTAGTTTTTTGCCCATACACATGAGTATTTGTCTAAAACATGTCTTCTTTGTAGCAGCTAGGCCCTGCCACTACTGTGCTTGGGTGAGTTCACAAATGTGTTGTAACCTGTAGCTTCCCTGTCACTTCTCTGGCTCTCCTCTCCTGCTAAGCTTTGTTTCCTAATTAAAATCTTCTGCCACTGCTATAGCTACTGCTGCCGCTGGAACTGCCATAGCCACCTTGGTTTCGTGGTTTTGCCAAGTATTGGCCTCCACTGCCATAGGGGCAAGAGCTTCTGCCTCCAAAATTTCCTCCCTTCATGGGTCCAAAATTTGAAGACTAATTGTTGTAACTGCCAAAACCACTGTAGCTTCCACCACCTCCAAAATTGCTTCCATCATTACCAAATCCATTATAGCTATCCCCACTGCCACCATATCCACCACCACCATGGCTGCCACCAAAGCCACCACAACCACTGAAGTTTCCTCCATGACCAAAGTTGTCATTCCCACCAAAACCACCTCCACAACCACCACCAAAGTTTCCAGAACCACTTCGACCTCTTTGGCTGAATGAAGCACTAGCCATCCCTTGCTTTGACAGGACTTTCCTAACTTCACAGTTGTGGCCATTCACAGTATGGTATTTCTGAATGACAATCTTATCCACGGAGTCATGGTCCTCAAAGGTTACAAAGGCAAAGCCCCTTTGCTTGCCACTGCCTTGGTCAGTCATGATTTCAATCACTTCAATTTTTCCATACTCCTCAAAATAATCTCTTAGGTGATATTCTTCAGTGTCTTCTTTAATGCCACCAACAAATATGTTTTCCACAGTTAAGTGGGCACCTGGTCTTTGAGAATCTTCTGTTGAGACAGCTCTCTTTGGTTCCACAACTCTTCCATCCACCTTGTGTGGCCTTGCATTCATAGCTGCATCCACCTCCTCCACAGTGGCATATGTGACAAATCCAAAGCCCCTGGAACATTTGGTGTTTGGATCTCTCATTACTACACAATCCGTGAGCGTACATCGTTGCTCAAAATTGCTCCTCAGGCTCTCATCGGTTGTTTCAAAGCTCAACCCTCCAATGAAGAGCTTCCTCAGCTGTTCGGGCTCTTTAGGAGACTCTGACTTAGACATGACGGCAGGGAGAAGAGAGACTTTAACGATGCTTCTTTGGCGGTGTCCACAGGCAGAAAGCAGCAAGCTGAGGAACGTATCTCCGAGGAAAGAATCTTAAGAGCTATGAGGGAAAAGCACCAGGTAACCTATTAAAGGAAAACCTATCAGATTAACAGCAGACTTCTCAGCAGAAACCGTATAAGCTGGAAGAGATCGAGTCCTTATCTTTGGCCTCTTTAAACAAAACAATTATCAGCCAAGAATATCGTGTCCAGCAAAACTAAGCTTCATAAATGAAGGAAAGATGCAGTCTTTTTCAGATGAACAAATGCTGCGAAAATTTGCAACTACCAAACCAGCACTACAAGAACTGCTAAAAGGAGCTCTAAATCTTGAAACAAATACTGGAAACACATCAAAACAGAATCTCTTTAAAGCATAAATCTTACAGGATCTATAAAACAAAAATCCAATTAAAAAAACACAAAAAACAGGCCGGGCGCGGTGGCTCACGCCTGTAATCCCAGCACTTTGGGAGGCCGAGGCGGGCGGATCACAAGGTCAGGAGATCGAGACCATCCTGGCTAACATGGTGAAATCCCGTCTCTACTAAAAATACAAAAAAAATTAGCCGGGCGTGGTGGCAGACGTCTGTAGTCCCAGCCACTGGGGAGGCTAAGGTAGGAGAATGGCATGAACCTGGGAGGCAGAGCTTGCAGTGAGCCAAGATCACGCCACTGCACTCCAGCCTGGGGGACAGAGCAAGACTCTGTCTAAAAAAAAAAAAAAAAGCTACACTTAAAGGACACAGAATTGAAGAATGGATGAGAATTCACCTGCCAGCTATCTGCTGCCTTCAAGAGACATACCTAACACAGAAGAACTAAGCAAAAAGAAGAAATCTGGAGGCATCACATTACCTGATTTCAAACTATAGTGTAAGGCTGTAGTCACCAACCAGCATGGTACTGGTATAAAAATAGGCATATACACCAATGGAATAGAACAGAGAACCCAGAAATAAACCCAAATACTTACAGCCAACTGGTCTTTGACAAAGCAAACAAAAACGTAACGTGAGGAAAGGACAACCTATTCAACAAATGGTGCTGGGAAGCCAAATGTAGGAGAATGAAACTGGATCCTCATCTCTCACCTTATACAAAAATCAACTCAAGATGGATTAAGGACTTAAATCTAAGACCTGAAACTCTAAAAATTCTAGAAGATAACATCAGAAAAACCCTTCTAGGCATTGGCTTAGGCAGGGATTTCATGACCAAGAATCCAAAAGCAAACACAATAAGAACAAAGATAAATAGCTGAGACTTAATTAAACTAAAGAGCTTTTGCATAACAAAAGGAACAGTCAGCAGGGTAAACAGACAACCCACAGAGTGGGAGAAAACCTTCACAATCTATACATCTGACAAAGGACTAATATCCAGAATCTACAAGGAACTCAAATGAATTAGCAAGAAAAAAAAATCAAACAATCCCGTCAAAAAGTGGGCTAAGAACATGAATAGAAAATTCTCAACAGAAGAAATACAAATGGCCAAAAGACATATGAAAAAATCCTCAGCATCACTAATGGTCAGGGAAATGCAAATCAAAAACACAATGCGATACCATCTTACTCCTGCAAAAATGGCCATAATCAAAAAATAAAAAATAGTAGATGTTGGCAATGATGTGGTGAACAGAGAATACTTCTACACTGCTGGTGAGAATGCAAACTAGTACAACCACTATGGAAAACAGTGTGGAGATTCCTTAAAGAACTAAAGTAGAACCACCATTTGATCCAGCAGTCCCACTACTGGGTATCTATCCAGAGGAGAAGTCATTGTACGAAAAAGATATGTGCACACACATGTTTATAGCAGCACAATTCACAATTACAAAAATGTGGAACCAACCCAAATGCCCATCAGTCAGTGAATGAATAAAGAAACTGGTATTTATATACAATGGAATACTACTCAGCCATAAGAAGGAATGAATTAATAGGATTTGCAGCCCCCTGGATAAGACTGGAGACTTATTCTAAGTGAAGGGACTCAGGAATGTAAAACTGAACATTGAATGTTCTCATTCGTAAGTGGGAGCTAAGCTATGAGGATGCAAAGGCACAATAATGACACAAGAGACTTTAGGGACTCAGGGGGGAAAGAGTGGGAAGGGGGTGAGGGATAAAAGACTACAAATTGGGTGCAGTGTATACTGCTTGGGTGATGGGTGCACCAAAGTTTCACAAATCACCATTAAAGAACTTACTAATGTAACCAAATCCCACCTGTTCCCCAATAACCTTTGGAAATAAAACATTTAAAAAAGAAAGAAAGAAAGAAAAAAGTACCTGATCACCTCCCAGCTGTTTCTGCCAACCCAGCTGAAGTGTCAGACATGTGAATAAAGAAGCCACCTTGGAATGTTCAGCCCAGTGAAATCTGTAGATGACTTTGGCCTCAGACGTCATCTGACTGCAAACACACAAGAGACATCAAGCAAGAACTGCCCAGTGGAGCCCAGCCACCCTACAAAACTCTGAGAGATAATGCATTGTTGTTGAAGTAACTAAGTTTTGGCTGAGTTCTTAGGCATCAATAGTTAACCAAAACTATGGCCAACTATCTTGGGTGAGATACTGGCAAGACAGGTTCAAGTTCAGGCACCTTCCTTGGTGTTAGTAGACAAAGGACCATGTGGGGCTGGGTACAGTGGCTTGTGCCTGTAATCCCAATGCGTGGGGAGGGTTATGTGGTGAGGCCAAGAGTTTAAGACCTGTCTAGGCAACGTAGTGAGACCTTCGTCTTTACAAAAACCATTTTAAAAAATTAGCCAGGCATGGCTGGCCACGGCGGCTCACAACTGTAATCCCAGCACTTTAGGAAGCCGAGGCAGGTGGATCACCCTAGGTCGGGAATTTGAGACCAGCCTGACCAGCATGGAGGAACCCTGTCTCTACTAAAAATACAAAATTAGCCGGGAGTGGTGGCGCATGCCTGTAATCCCAGCTACTCAGGAGGCCGAGGCAGGAGAGAATCGCTCCCGCAACCCAGCGAGGAGTTGCATGAGCCAAGGATCGATGCCAGTTGCAGCTCCAGACCTGGCAGACAAGGCGGTGGGAGAAAACTCCTTCTCAAAAAAAAAAAAAAAAAAAAAAAAACAATAGGTCCAAGTGCCAGCATGGTAGCTACTTGGGAGGCTGAGGTGGGAGGACTGCTTGAGTCCAGGAGGTTGAGGCTGCAGTGAGCTATGATTATATCACTGCATTTCAGCCTGAGTGATAGAGTAAGACTTCTTCTCTGTAAAGAGAAGAAAGGACCATATGAAATCATATAAGTCAGTAATTAGATTAATTTAATTTTTATTATATTTTAAATACTACCCTCAATAGATTGGGAAGTATTAAAATCTCTGAAACGGACTTTAAAAAAAATTTTATTTCTGAGAGGAGTCTCGCTCTGTCACCCAGGCTGGAGTGCCAGCTGTGCGGCTCTGCACACTGAGAACCTCTGCGTCCTTGGTTCAAGCAATTCTCCTGTCTCAGCCCTCCGGAGTACCTGGGACTATGGGCATGTGGCCACCATGCCCGGCTAATTTTTTTTTTTTTTTTTTTAGTAGATGGGGTTTCACCCCATTGGCCAGGCTGGTCTAGAATTCCTGACCTCAGGATCTGCCCTCCTTGGCTTCCCAAAGTGCTGGGATTACAGGCACGAGGTCACCGCGCCCCAGCCCAGTCTTTCCTTGTTTTATTTTTATTTTTTATTTTGAGATGGAGTCTGCTCTGTTGCCCAGCCTGGAGTGCAGTGGCAGGATCTCGGCTCACTGCAACCTCCACCTCCTGGGTTCAAGCAGTTCTCCTGCCTCGGCCTCCCGAGTAGCTGAGATTACAGGCTCCTGCCAGCCATTGCCCTGCTAATTTTTGTATTTTTCGTAGAGACAGGGTTTCACCATGTTGGCCAGACTAGTCTTGAACTCCTGAACTCGTGATCTGCCCGCCTCAGCCTCTCAAAGTGCTGGAATTACAGGCATGAGCCACCATGCTCACCCCTTTCCTTGCTTTTATGACCTTGACATGCTTGAAGAAAACTGGTCAGGTATCCCGTAGAATGTCTCTCAGTCTGGGTTTGTCTGATATTTTTTCTCATGATTGGAGTGGTTACGGGTTTTTGGAAAGAATACCTCAAAGGTAAAATGCCTTTCTTATCACACCATATGAAGGTGTACCTAATAGCCACATGACATCACCAGGAATGTTCACCTTCCTCACTTGGCTAAAGCAGTTGTTGACCAGGTTTCTCCACTGTAAAGTTACTATTTGGAAGAGAGTCACAAGTCTAGCACCCTCTTAAGAGGAAAATTAAGCACCCTCTTAAGCAGAAATTAAGCTCTACCTCCTGAAGGAGGGAGTATCTATCTATATATTATTTAGAATTCTTTTATGAGGAATATTTGTCTCTTCTCCCCATTTATTTATTTATCCAGTCTTTTACTTGTATCAGTATGGACTCAATGTATATTTACTTTATAGTTGGATCATAATCCACAACAATATTATTTATTTTGGTTTTCGAATTCTTCCAGCATTTGCTTTTGGAATTTCGTTTATGTTGGCGTCTATGTCCCTTTGACATGCCCCATAATTTTGTTTTCTTAAGCAATTCCTTGCTTTGTGATACTTTGTGGAGTCTGATGCTCCAGGCTTAGCTTGTATTTTCCCTATCTCAGGCCTAGAATCAGCCATGTCACTAAGGAGCCCTGGTTTCCGTTATTGCAGAATGATATTCAGAAACCAAGATGTGGATTCTGAATGTGCTCACTGCTACTGGATATCACTGCTTTTCAGGCCTCTCAGTCAACAGAGCTAGGTAATATATGTGTATAATATTCAACCATGTGTATATACATATCTATAATTGGTTTTTATAAATCCACATCTGTTTATAAAGTAAGCTAAACATAAATTCAGAGCATAACTTTTTTTTATTTTTATTTTAAGAGAAGGGGTCTCCCTACGTTGCCCACATTGGTCCTGAACTCAAGGGATC